GAGAAATATTCATAATTTTTCTAATATTTTGTTTTTTTTCGCTCTTTCCTCCCAACTACGTTTCATTTTAAAGTTAAAATGGAAAAATGTTTAAAATTTCAATAAAGCAAAAAAAAACAAAAAAAAATAAATAAGAATTATTCCCTAAAGCTTTTAAATTGAATTTTCCTTTTTTATTACGTATAAAATTCTGGAAAATAAAAAATAAAAAAATAAATGATAGAAAAAGAAAGCAAAAAATGAATTGAAAAAGGAAAGAAAATTAAATTTATCTCTTACGTTACAGTTATTACTATAGCATTGCATTCTCATTTCTGTATCAACATCAAAACATTATTATCATTATCAACATTGAAGATAGTGTGTATAAAGGAGAATATAATGTTAAAGAGCATTGACCTAAAACCATAAAAGAGCGGCAAGCGCAAGGCAAGGCCTGTTTTATTTTCTTATTATTTTTTTTTATTATTACGCTTTTATATGCGCTCACATCATGTGGATGTACTACAGCAAATTATGTGTATACGATTTTTGTTGCAAAACATTTATTATTTTGCAAAAATTATATATGTATGTATGCTCAAAAATTATGCTCAACGATGTGACTGTATGCAAATTGTTTTCTTTAAATTTTCTAAATGTTTTTTGTTTTCTCTATGAATTTGTTGACTTTAAGTAGAAAAATTGTTGGCCAGAGTGAAAGAGTTAAAGATTTTTATTTTATTTTTTATTTTTAGCACTTTTCCAAAAATTTTTTGAAAAAAAGTGCTTATTAGTTTCACTCTGTCCGTCCGTCCGTCCGTCCGTCCGTGTGTCTGTTTACAAAACTTCTACACCCTTGAAGATAGAAAGCTGAAATTTTATATGTACATAGATCTTTACTAGAAACTTATTTCTGTAGAACAAAATTTTTACCTATCTCCTCCCCTCTAGAAGTTATACCCCCCCAAAACCCTAAAAATGGCCTTTTTTAACTATTTGTTGCAATGAAACCATAAGCATTTTTGAAATTTTGCAAACGCAGAAAAGCAGCGGCTTGCTTCCAATAGCGCGGCATACTATATTTGAACTTTAGAAAAACAAAATGGCCGTTCAAATTTACCGTTATCTAAAGTCCTTTTTTTGCAAATTTTTGATGTCGTTTTTTTTCCAAACTACAGCCTGTAGAAGCTTGAAATTTTAGGAGCTTTTAGACATTATCAAATAGTTCATTTCGCTAGAAGAAAATTTTTTTCCATCTCCACCCCCTCTCAAGTTATCGCCTCTTGAAATTTGTAAAATTTGAATTTTTGACACCTTATATTTCCGAAACCGCAAGCTTTTTCAAATTTCTATTAACGCAAAAAGTTAACGGTAAATTCCATGAAATTAAAAAATATAATTATTTTTCTTAACTCACACAATTAACCCTTAAAATCGAGCATTATGTTAACCCCTTTTTATATTAATTTTTGCCTCATTTCAAAGACTGCATAAATCATTCATCCTAAATATATGCAATCCTAGAAATAGTTTTGTATATGAATGAAAATAATTTTAATAGTGTGATAGGTACATAGACTACATAGACTGTATTTAAAAGCAAAATTTTCATTTGTTGAAGGGAAAAGTGCTACAATACAAACCATTGGTTTGACCCAACTTTATTCTTCATACTTTTCTTATATTTTGATATTTTAGAAAGAAAATTTAATTATATTTATTTTACTTACTCGTATTTTCATTTTTCATTAGTGCGTAGCTCTTATAAAAAAATTAAATTAAAGTTCTTTTTCCAAAAAAAAATGTTGAATCTGTCAGAGTAATCTTATAATAGAGAAGAACATTTTATGAAACTAAAATACATATAGTCAAGATAATTAAACTAACGAAATTAGTTTAATTTTCGAAAGAGAATTTGAAATATTTAGAATGTCAACAGAGCAAATATAGGAAAAAATTAAAAATAAATATAGGAATATATTAGACATATTATTTCCAAAATATTATAGGTGACGTTCTTAACTCGCTAAATTAAAAGAATATAATAGTGCGATTCTGATTCAGTTTTCGGATTACTGATAGTTTATAAGGCACAAAAACTCCCTTGGGGTGTGGGTCTAATCTGTGGTACAACTCGGCTTGAAGATCTTCTTTCGTTTTTCGGAACACTGCAAACAGAACTATATATTACGCAACCAGAGAACTGTGTCCAAGAGCGAATTTGCATTGCGGGACATTGTTTTATTGACGAATATCCCAAGAGGATGGGCCGCCCTGCTAATAAATTCTATTTTATTTTTGGCGTGGATCTGTTGTTTTCGAATAAATATTCCGCAGTTATCCAAAATATGTACATATGTATGTAGTTATTTAGAATTATTTGTATATAGCAGATATTGATATAATTTGAAGACATAAATATAGTGTTAAAAAATTTTTTTCTTCTTATTCTTAGTTTCTTTTTGTTGTCAAAAATAATTTTTCTAAAAATAAAATTTTCTTTAATGTGTTTAATATTTTGTAAAAATGTTATTTTATTATAGAGTTAATGTGATTTTTACTTGCCAACATTTACTAAATCTGTATGATATAAACATATTTTTTTACGTATATAACGTGTATAATATGTACAACATATGTATATTAAGGTCCTTTGGCATTAATGTCTAACATCAAACCATTAAAAATGAATTCTTTTATCCATTAAATTTTACTTTAATTTTATTTCTTAAGTTAAAAGCAAAGAAAAGTTTTTTTACAAAATATATACATAAATATATACATATATACATATGTATAAATCCAATGAAATATTTTATGGCATAATGTCAAATTAATTTAATTCTCACATTTAAGGAAAACCATTTATATAACGTATATTACATATACATATACGTATGTGTAGCAAGAGAGTGAGAGAGTCTTCTTATTCCTTGCATAATTTAATTTTTGCGATAACTTTATTTTCAGACATTTTAGTAAATTTTTTTGCGTATTTTGTCCAAAACTTTTTTGTTTTAAATTATATTTGAGAATTTTTGTTTTTGTTACTTTAAAAGTATGCTTAATGAAAGTAAATTACTATGTAATGTATTTTAGAATAAAATTTTTTCTCAACATTTTTAACCTTAAATTCACAATGTTAAACTTTACAGACTTCAAATTTATGAAATGTGTCATTTAAAATTTTTTCCATATTATTGGGGTTTTACAGTTTATTATTTTATAAATTTTCACTTAATATTAGATTTCTAGTATATTTAAATAATATTTTTAAAAAAATTATGTAAATTATGAGGTACAGAACATAAATAATAATATTGATTTTAGGTTTTCTTTAGAGAACTTGGTTAAACGACTAGCTATGTGCATTCTGCATACTTAAATTTATATTGTGAATTTGTAAAGCTAGACTATAGTCAGCAAATATGTCAAAATATATGTTAACATGTGAACTTGAAGTAAATCGTAAAATTAGCCCATTAAGATTTGTTAGCTGGAGCTAAAATTCCAGTAAGGTTTTACACGTTTTTTAACAATTTTTTGTATTATAACAAAAATAATAAACATCTGAGGTGAAATTTTAATTTTTAATTTTTCTTTTTGCGATATAAGTATAAGGTGTGAATGATAAGAGCACACCTATAAAAATTTTGCAAAAATGTTATTTTAAAAAAAAAGTTTTAACAAAATAAAATAATAATTGATTTCCAATTTATAAAACTTTTGAAATGGTTGGTTTTTTCCAATACCTTAATTATTTCATAAGAACAATATAAATTTATTAAAATGGTGTAATTATTCGGTAAATAAATACTCATCTCTTTTCAGGAAAATTTTTGGAAAAAAAAAACTATTCACCATATTGTTGTTAAGCTTGTGTTTTCTATTACAATCGTATATTTAAGACAAAACCGATTAATATTGTTATAATATCTTTGATTCTATCTTAATGGAACCGTGGAAGAGTCATGCAAATAATTAATTTAACTTCTTCCATTAAATCCTAGCGGTTTGTTATGGAACTGTTTTCGAGAAAACTATGATACCTATAAGTAAATATTTTTTGTACAACTTTCAAAAATAATGAAAGTGTGAATTTCAATGAGTATTTTAATTACTCATATTCCATTATTTATATAGGGTCCAAACATTTTATGAGATTTACTTAATTATAAAATCTTTTTTCATTAAAGCACAAGCTTTGTACATAATTATTTTATAAGTTTGTTAAAATAAGTGAATATTGCATAAAATATGGAAAATAATATTAAGTTTTTTTTTTTAAATATTTAGAAAAAACTTGTATGCGTCTATGGAACCAAAATACTCGTATAAATGAGAAAATATTATTAGCTCTTTCTTTTATATATTTTTCAAAGGATATTTTATATCAAGGACATTTTGAATGTGTGTTTTAAAAAACTTTAATTCTTTTCTTTTATAATTTTCATTTTAAAAGTCTGTAGGTATAAACATAAATACATATTTAAAGAGAACCAGCCCAACCATATACATAAAATGTGTGCATAAAGCAAACATTTTGAAGAATATAAAAATGTTGTTAATTAAAATTTTATAAAATAATTATTTTAAAATATTATGGATTATATAATATAAATTTTCACATAATAAATTAAAAGTATGTATGTATGTATGTTGTGTATACAATATAAAAATACAGACAAAAATGGAAATAAGGCTAATGAGAGTCTCTTGTTTTTCATGTGATACGAAATACGAACAATAAGAGAAGAGAGTATTTTTTTTTCAAAAATTTTTTCATTTAAGAAATGTGTCGCCTTTGATTTCATTATTAAATTCCAAGTTTTTTTTTCTAGGTCGTTATAAAATTTTGTATTTACTTCAATATAAATTATGATGGCAATTTGTTTTTTTTTTTAAATAAGGACTTCTTTTTTATAAGCGAAAAAGGGTGACGCATTCATTTTTCATTTGTAAATTTTTCTGTTTTATGTTGAAGTTTATTTTGTTTATTTGCTTTTAAAGTGACTTACTTGTTGATGTTGTGTCATATATTACTGTTTATATATATACACATACATACACATATAAAATAGTTTGAGAGAATTCCGAATAATTATTTAAAAAATTTCGAAATTTTCTTAAATAAACCCGCCTGAATTCATTGTTAGCAATCTAAGGCACTGTACAAATATGTACTTTACAGGCGTAATCAATATAGGCTTAATAAGTGCAAAGCAAAGATTTTTCTCACCGCACGGATCAGAAAATTCTTTTGCTCACCTTATTATTTGAGATCGATAGTATTGGTAACCATAGTAGGCGTCGAAAACAAACATTTCGTCTTGCATTAACCAAAACATTACGATTACTAAGATTAATCCATCTCAGAACATTGCCATCTATGTGGAAGCTTCTTGAAGGTATCAAAAAAACCTACGACAATGTAAATTGTCAAAACCCTCCAAGTTAATTTATAACACAAAATAATCAATCTCAGAGAAAACTGAGAAAATGTAATCCTAATCAACTAATTTCGCGTTCGGTACAAAACCTGATATGAATTACCACCACGGTGAATTATTATTATTTGTCGATATAATGAAAAGAAACAAGTTATTTAATGGTGAATTCTATCAAAAACTTTACTCACCTTACTGAATATGATGTCAACCTGATCATCGTGCTTCGCTACATTCATTATGATAAATAATAAATACGACTTAATTTGATATCATACAGAAAAATCGCTTTAGGAACATATCATATGGTTGTGCTTCATATGAATAGGTAGAACAAACCACTATATCTCGCCGAATAACTCCTTCACAATTGACGTCATCTGAAATCAAAACCAATGAAAATAAGTAAAGTCATTTGCGAGCTCAAAAACAAATTTTTTCAAAACAGAATGTTTATCAGCCAAAAGAGGTACAGGAGGAATGGCATGGGAAGATTAGAAATTATAATAGATTCATAACAAATAAAAAGATTGGATCCATAGTTTTAATAGTCAATAAAGTTTTAAATATGAAAATTATATTAAAACTATAATGTAAATGTCAATAACATAATTAAAAAGAATATATCGTGGGAATTTTTGGGAAGTGTGAGAAAAAAGTAATATTTTAAAATTACAGGATTACAAACGTATGTGTACGAGTATTTCTGTTTGAACTTCGGTAACCTTTCTATAAGTTATTCGCATTCATTTCTTAGAAATTTATTTATGTACATATAAATAAAACAAAACACAACACTTAAAGAAATTTACTGAATCAATGACTTTTTAAAAATAATTATAGAGCACAATATTTTGAAGACAATGTCGCGAATAATGTATTGAAAAGGTAAGAAACAATGCTACACACCATAATTTTAAATTTCCACTGTTATCACTTTTGTGTAAATGCTAATATTTGTGTATGTGTATGTATTTAACAAAAAAAATTGTATTATTCATTTTTGAAGTTTTCATTGTTTGTTTTTTTTTTATTTAACAACTTGTTTTTCTTTTATTCTGTTTTTTTTTCAAAAAGAAGCTACTGTATGTATAACGTTAATTATTGACAACTTTATTTACTTGACTGATAAAAAAAAAATAACATATAACAGTCAATGTAACGTCAATTGAATTTTATGTTTTTTATCTCTCTACTGTTTATGTCACTTTAAAAAAAAAGGAAAACAATTGACAGAAAAAAATAATACAACAAAATTGATAGATAAACTGTTAAGTAAATATGTGTATAGGTAAAAATTAAATGTGATCAGCTTATAACCGATCCGTACTTGTATATTCAAGAGACTGACAAAAAATATTAATTATAAAAAACCGCTTTTGCATTATTACCATTAATTGACAGAGGCGCCTGTTTAGAACTTATTTTCTTGAATATAATATTTCCTTAAAATATTTGTTAGTTCGTTTCATTGATATGAAATACTGCAAAATAAATAACAATATCTGTAAATATTACATTAAATACGGTAAAAAATGTAAAACAGACTACTTGTAAGAGTTTAATGGTTCAAATCCCGGATACGCTCAAAAAACGGTAAAAGCAAACTAACAGGAACACTACATACATACATACATATTATATGAAAAGTTATCCAGCTGAAATTGAGATGATGGCAAGAAAGACTCCAAGAATGCGAAGTACATTCCTCTTAAATTTTTGACATGTGAAATTTGATTCGAAAATAATGCCTCTCTTACTGTATAAAAAAAAAAAATATATAGTAAGTAAAGTTTAGTAAAATGTATATTAGAGAGAGATAGAAACAGAGGGTGACAGAGAGTTGTCATACAATTTTTAAAACGACATTTTAGAAAATGATTGATTTAAAAAATGTTTTAAATACAAGTTTTACAAGATTTAATGATCTTTTCATGACTTAAGCGTATACACGTATAAACGTGTATTTAGAGTTTTATCCTGTACATACAATATGTGTCAAAATAATCTAATTGACAATTTATTGATTTATGAATTAGTTTAGCAAAAAAAATGTATATAGATATAATATAAACAATGTTATTGATCAGAGAATAAAATTGAAATTTTTAATATATACAATATAACTTATATGATAGGGTTAGGTAGCAATAGTGATTTGACAGCGCGTTCTGTTTAGCAATCTTTGCGTCAATTCTTAGATATGAGGCGTGCTGTGTTGTAACTATTCTTGATTACTAGAACACACCACACAAGAACGTATTTCCAAGAAATCTGCTCTTTGATTTACGTAAATGTCAAAAAACAACTTGATATGCTATAATATTATTAAATATACGAACAGGAAAAGCATTAACTTATATATACATACGAGTACGTATAATTTTATGAAATGCAACTTCGTATAATATGCTGTTACCTTAACTTCCGAATCAGTATATGTACATATGTACATACTTGATCAATGTCATTCACATAAGTGCAATGCATGTATATGACATAATACATATGTACATTAAAAATGTCCCATCTTTTATTTACTTTTTCAATTGGAAATAATAGCTACTGTAAATGACATTGATATGAATGAAATCATTGTAAGAGCTACAAAATTATTTTCTTTTTACATTTTTATGTAATAAACAAAAAAAAATAAAATTTAATTGTAAATATTTATTTATTTGTCAAAAAAAAAAGTTCAATAAAACATACATACATACATATAAACAAACAAATAAGCTCTGAAAAATTTCAGCGTATTTCACACAACGTACCTATGATATATGTATGTATGTAAAATTTTGTAATTTTATTTATTTATTAAGTTAAATTCGTATACTTGTAAATTGTAATATACATATGTATGTATGAATGTACATACATACATGCCCATGTAAAAAAAATTATCTGTTTCGAATTAAAAAACAACAAAAACAAAGTTTTTTTAAAATACCGAGTACAAAAACACTCTGACATGTAAGAGTAAATATTCGATTTGCGTATTCAAGCGGGTGTTGTCGTTCTGCACTATAAAAATTGCGCCGTACGGAAAAAAATATACATGCAAAATTTCTTTAATATGTATATATTCACTTAGAGACTGTAACATACGAAATAACATAATTTTTGTTCGTTTTTAACTCCTCTTCAATTTTTCTTTCATGTGACTTCTCTGACAACCCTGCTTCACTTTTGAAATTTATTACTATTTTACTACGTTTGTGTGAAGTACTTTCGTGCTCGATTACTATTTCTGTGTAATAAATTGTATATAAAAATATTTTTATTAATTTTTGTTACGATGGCAACATTTTAAAATACGACAAGTACAACTACTTTAAATGAGGCTTTATGTCGAAACAGCAGCAGGTGTATAATACATATTGTTACATAGGTATGGTACATTCATTGTTGTTGTTGTTGATTTTTTTTAGTTGTAAGTTTGTATTTCATGCTGTTGTTCTTGGTTTTTCTGTTTTGTTTTTTAATTCTGTTATCAAAATACATAATTTATCTTGTGTTGTAAAACGAATGATAAAAACATTCTTTTTTTTTGTACACATAAGTGGGTGACAAATTAATATTTTATGGGAAAGTTATAAAAAAAAAACAAAAACAATGGCATAACAAAATGGGGCGAATGATAGAGCGAAAATTAAAAATGTAATAAAGTTGGGTCAAACCAATGGTTTGTATTGTAGCACTTTTCCCTTCAACAAGTGAAAATACTGCTTTTAAAAATCTATGTATATCCACCACACTATTAAAATTATTTTTATTCATAAACGAAACTATTTCTAGGATTGCATATATTTAGGATGAACGATTTATGCAGTCTTTGAAATAGATAAAAATTAATATAAAGAGGGGTTAACATAATGCTCGATTTTAAGGGTTAATTGTGTGAGTTAAGAAAAGTAATTATATTTTTTAATGTCATGGAATTTACCGTTAGCTTTTTGCGTTTATAGAAATTTGGAAAAGTTTGAGGTTTCGGAAATATAAGGTGTCAAAAATTCAAATTTTACGAATTTCAAGAGGCGATAACTTGAGAGGGGGTAGAGATGGAAAAAAATTTTCTTCTAACGAAATAAACTATTTGTTAATGTCTAAAAGCTCCTAAAATTTTAAGCTTCTGCAGGCTAGGGTATAGGAGAAAAACGACATCAAAAATTTGGAAAAAAAGGACTTTAGATAACGGTAAATTTGAACAGCCATTTTGTTTATCTAAGGTTTGACTATAGTATACCGCGCTAGGGAAAGCCAGCCGCTGCCTTTCTGCGTTTGCAAAATTTCAAAAATGCTTATGGTTTCATTGCAACAAATAGTTAAAATGGGCCATTTTTGTGGCTTTGGGGGGGTATAACTTCTAGAGGGGGGGAGATAGGTAAAAATTTTGTTCTACGAAAATAAGTTTCTAGTAAAGATCTATGCATGTATTAAATTCCAGCTTTTTATCTTTAAGAATGTAGAAGTTTTGTAAACAGACACACGGACAGACGGACGGACGGACGGACGGACGGACGGACAGAGTGAAACTAATAAGCACTTTTTTTCAAAAATTTTTTGGAAAAGTGCTAAAAACAAAC